CATCATAGATTTGGATTGGGAGCTAGATTCTACATCCTCTTTGACATCGTAGATGGAGATTGTGTCATAATATCTAGAAGTAGAAGATAATAATTGAGTCAATCAGCAAAATAATAAAATAATGCTATTTAAATGAAATCGGTTAACATATGATTCTAGAGAAATTCAATTTAATTATTTTGAGATTCATAAGCATTTTCCTATATTTAATGAGAAGTATAATCTTAGAGAATTTTTAAATTGGATGGACAACTTATATCATTATTTCAAATAGTTGAAGTTGCACAAAAAAAATAGTGAGACTTCCTTAATTATTCTGGCAAAATGCTACAAATAAAATAAAATCTACATTGATTGATATAAAATATTAACTTAAAGAATAATATTTATTATTTAGTGACTTTATTGACCAGCTACATGATCAATTTATGAAAAAAGTGACTGTAGTGTATTGTCAATACTTAGTTGAGTATAAACGTCGTCACAAAATATTATTTGCTTATGGATTACTTTTTTATCACTATTTATTTCATTACAGGTCTTTGCCAAAAGAAATATATATATATTTATATATAATTCTCTAAAGACATTAGATGAGACATATTATCTAGCTTAAAGGCTGAGAGGCTGAGAATTATTATAATTATTTTTTTAGAACTACTGCATATGCTAAATATCTTTTAACAAAAATCATTAGCATCGTCTATAAAGCCTGTCAAGTTCACAAGAATTATGTATTTTTAATCACATTGAAATGTTATAGTTTGGAATATTTTTTAAGTGATGCATTAGATATTAAAAAATATTTATGGTTTCAATATAATTTTATAATTGGAGTCTCTATTAGAATGTAGTCATAAACCTAAACTTAAATTTAAGTATTAAAACTTGAAACTGAAATTGAACTTGGGATCACATTTGAATATAAATTTCAATTAGAATTTAAATCTTGAATGTTGAAAAAAATCATGCATGCTTAAGTTGATTTATCAATCAAAGACTTGATAATATAGCACTTCATCAAAAACCTAATGAAGTTATCGATATGAATTAAATTGATAGTAATTTTTTTCTATTTTTGTGCTCTTACATTCTTGATTTATAAATTTATAAAGAAATTTTATGATGAAAGTAAAATTAAGTCACCATATCAAAGGATTTATTTGTGATAATCGCCTTTAAGAAAATAAAAAATTCAAATCTATTTAGGGGTTGTTCTGTTTGTTGAAAACAAATGCAGTGTGATTAACTTGTAGTTCATTTGAAATACTTTGGAGTTATTTAGTTCAGTGTAATATATATGTATATATATATATATATATATGTTGGTTTGAAAAAAATTAAAATCAATGTAAACACGATTGGTGGTAGCGACAAGGGTGACATTAGCTGCGGTGGAATGCAGGAGCTAGTCCACGACGATGGTGGTGGTCGTTGGTGGGCGATCGGTTGTGATAGTGGAGGTTGCTGGCAGGCAGCAGCAGCTGGTGGGCGACGGTGGCGGTTGGCAGGTGGCGCTTTTGGGCGGCTCGGCAAGCTGCTGACGGAGAGGGCTGCAAACCTATGCTGATGATCTATGGGCGTAGAGCAGTGGGCTGCAATTCATTTTATATTTGAAAATCATTCGAATCTAAGGAATTCAGGTACACAAATTTTGAAATGTAGGGTGAATTTCAAATCCACCAAAATTTTACACTACATTTTATTTTCATTCAACCAAACACCAAAATTTAAAAAACCCTATGTTTGGTTTCCTTCACGCCAGAAATACAGCAAATCAAACAATCCCTTAGTTAAATCCAAAGATACATAAAGCACCATGACTAATTTTTAAGCTATTTTAATTAGATTTCCTTAAAAGGTATTTTCGCCCATATGATAGAACCATATTTATGCGATATGCCTGTTAAAAAATTTTTTATGGAACTTTATAAGCATTAATTTTAAGAAGTTTTCATTGTCGCTTCCTTAAGCATTAATTATAGTATATTCAGTAGGAGAACATTGGTATTTTAGTATTATCAGTACGTGCATTGCTTTATTGTGCATTTTTTATTAGTAATTTGCATGAAGTTTTCATAGGAAATTGTTTTAGTAATGAGAATTATAAGTCTACCAAAGATTTGAATATTATGAAATTCAAACTAGATGACAGAATGAGAATTTGTATGGAATATATAATGTTAATGTTGTAATCCATGCATAATTTATAATACCTATATATATACCTATATATATACCTATATATATAAACTTAAATTTGATTGTGTTGATTCGGGATCGAACTATTTTGAGTCTACTGGGGTTCAACTCAAAATGAATTTGATTTCAAGTCGCGTTTGAGTTTGTTATAATTGAGTGTAAGCATACTCGGCTCCATATGAGCCCTATTTAGAGGTGTTGGTCCCTAGATTTCTTTATGGAAAAAGCAGCATTTATCCTATGGTAGGGCACATATCATTTAATTATTTTGTCAGAGTCTAATTTTTTCCAAGCTAGGTAGATTAATGTGAAACTCCATTAGCTTCTGTTGTTTTGGGTTCTTTTTATGAAACTTTCTGTGCTTTCCTTGTGTTGGTAGGATTTATCCCTTGCCTGTGTTCTTTTTATTATTGGACTTCCATTGTGTTTGTTTCTTTTGTTACTGGACTAAAAATTTATTTTGTTATATGAGTTGCACTTTTTCTTTTTTGGCTCTTTGCAATCTTTGGGTTTGCAGTTTTCTCAGCTTCAAGACGGGGCATGTCGTCTCTATGTTCTTTTGAAATATAATTGTAAATCGGCTGAGAATTCGGTGATTATAGACATTTGGCTTTGAGAAATGTGAAATTTCATTGAGTTTCGTTCTGTTGTAATTCAATAAATTTTTTATTTTTATGCAATTTTTTCTAGTCTTTTCCTAATGCAAGTAGAAACTGGAGATGTTATGGGCAGTTTATCTCCTTGCACAAGCGCTAGGTTATTTGTGAACTTTGAGCTGCAGTTGTTGCGACATTTCTACGATATCCTTCAGGGTGAGGTGGTCGAATTCATTTTCTTACTTTCTAAAAAATTGTAAATTGAAGTAGAATTTGCTGCTTAAAAATATGGATGCTCTAAGGAATGTGAAATTCATCTTACTTTGATTCAACTTTTATCTGATAAAATTTTGATTGGATGTAATTTATTCTAACTTCTAGTGCAAATGGAGTTTGCAGATTTTTTGGGATGCCAACTCCTTGCAAAGGTTTGAGGCTTGCTGTTACTATTTGATGATCTTTTATCTTTTTTTTTCCTTCTTTTTCATTTTCTAATTTCTACTTATTGGTTGGCACATGCAATGATTTTAATCAAATTTGTGCAATATAATTTTTTATTACGGCATTATTTTTAATTAAATATATGATTTTTATGCTTTTGAATGCCCATATGTTATTTATAATAGATGAATTTAAATTATCATATGTGATGAATTTTTTCATATTTTTAGTTTTCATATAAAGGAATGACACTCAATAAATTCATGTAGCAGACCACACTTAATGAGATAAGGCTTGTTGTATATAAAGGAATGAATAGTCGTCTAGATTAAAAGATTTGTGAACCATGAATTTACATGCTTGCATAATTTTGTGGCATAAAGAAAATTATCACCTAAGTGATACCGGAGAAAAATGTTCGTACCACAATAAAACACAAATATTATTTTTGAAATTGAAATCGGTTACAATAACAAAACTTCAACAGGAAATAATGACAACAAACATAAAAGGAGACACTGGGGCGGCGGTGAAGGAGATGAGCAACGACTGGACATCAGATAGGACGGTGACCCGCGGCATGCAGCAGTGGAAGGTGAGGCTGGAATGGGGTTTATGGCAACTACAGGTAGGGATTGGAGAGGAGGGCGTAGCAGGCGTGGGTGGAGAGGTTTATGGTAGTGGCAGAATTGGGAGGTAGGAGGGTCCTGTGACAACACCTGACGGCGGGAAGGGGTAAATCTGCAGCAGGTGGAGTCCCTGGATGGTGCTACGGAATAGCAGGGTAGTGGGGAGGTTACTGGCTACAGCAGATATGCAGGAAAAACCAACAACATTTTCCTTGGGGTTTCAGCGGCTCAACATGAGGGGGAGATTTTGGGCTTGGCGTCTGGACGGGAGAGGAAGGAATGTCAGTCAGGTTACGGGAGAGGGTGGAAAGGTTGCAGCTGGGTTTCAGGGAGAGCTGGAAGGGATGCAGGGATCAGCGGGCACAGCAAGGTTTGTGCCGGAAGAAGGCAGCTAGCCGGGGAGGATGTGAGCAAAGGAAGAAAAATACATTCACCACTGAGGAGAGTGATACATCCGGAGCACCATCCTAACCATCGGATACAGCCTTCGAGGGAAAACTAGGATGCCGATGACTGTACTCACAAATCCGAAATCAAAAATAACATAAACTGAAAACCTATACAACAAACACATATAAATAGGAGATAGATAGGCGGGAAACAAAAATTGAAAGGGGCACTAATTTCCGGCCAAATGTAAAGAGGAAGTAGGGGTCTGGTAGAGCACCAAACACCCCCTCGGTTCAGTCAAACCGGTCCATGTGTCACTAAGACATTCTACATTGATGTCCCATTATTATTAGTTTTCTTTGTGACTTTTAAGATCATCATATTATGTCGGTCTTAGCTTCCATTTAGTTGAACGATGAATATATCTAGTATGTTATGGCATTTGATAAGTTTCTGTTAAGCCACCGCTTTGTCCATTCTGTTGACGGTTGTGTTATATTTCTGCTGGTTCAAAACCCTTATTCCAAAAACATTTTCATTATTAATAATACTCTGATGTAAAAAGTTATATTTCTATCAAATGTTTGTATCTATATGATAACACTGAAGATACAAAAATTTAAGGGAAATTTACGTACATACATTTTGGTGTCATGAACCTATGCATAAAATTATCTTTGCCTCGATTTAACATTCATACTGTCATCAAATGAGTGCTGACTGTCCTATGAAATTGCTGCAGAGACAAAACTCGTCGGCATCAATCTCGCGATATTGTAGATTCAATCCAATCTCTCAAACCGAAGCCTCCTCCCCGCCGCCTTTCCCCTGCAATGTGCAGTCTTCAGGGTTACTATGGCCTCACACAACCTAAAAAGAGTCTGCTACCTGAAGGCACGGAGATGTCTGTTTTTAAATCAGGGAAGACCCTCAAGTTCGAAGATAATTCACATTTCCTGGAATCACCTCTAAAGTTAGCCAATGGTTTCCCTCTAGAGAATGGTGATCTCTCTGGAAACACACCAGAGATTCTACTCAAGGAAGAAGGTACTGGGGGTGTGTTTTCAGGAAGAGTAGGAAAAGGTTTGGCATTAAGGCCAAAGCTTGGGAGCAGGACTGACCTCGATGACAGTCGCTATAACTCATCGTCGGCCGGTGATTCCCTTGTCGGAGACGTTTCTGTCTCAGTTCGAAAATCATCCAGTGCCTCAAACTTAAGCGAGTCGGAGAACACCACATCCATTTGGCCAACAAGCAAATGGTCTTTGAAGCCAGATTTGATTGCCAGACCAATTTTTGATGGATTTCAAAAGCCTCTAGCAGCATGGAGAAACAAAGCAGCTCTTGATTAGCAAAATTTTTTTAAAGAAATTTAAAAGTACATAAATTTTTATACGCATTAATATGATTTCTCCAAGGGAGAGGAGAAGTGAGGAATGTTAAAATAAAAAGAAAGAAAGGAAAAGAAAGGACAATCAATATTATGATGTGATTCTTGTTTTGATTCATGGATGAAGAGAGCACAATACGTATTCTTTTGTAATAGGTAGTGTGGGAATTGTTCAGCTATAGAATTACCTGACGCCTCTTCCCTGTATTATTCTTTTAATTAGACATTCCAGATTCAAGCATCTGAGTTTTATTTTGTTTAGCAAACTCTATTTCTTTGGGAGATTCAGATGTATACCACACAATCCCTATGCCTTTACATATCTAATATTTAAATTTTGATTTTTATATTTATGGCACTTTATGTATGCTTGGAAATATGTATTTTACTTTTTAAAAGTAAATGATACTAGTAGTTTTTATGTGCAATAAAAGATTTGAGCGTTATATATTGTAAAAATTAAAATTTAGGTGTTAAGATATGTAAATACATACCAATTGAGTGGTATGTAAATGACTCTAGTTCTTTTTCTGCCTTCCAGGATGGCTGTGATCAAGAGAAAAAATTTGCGTGAGATAGTCATTAGCAGAGCTGCGTATGATTTTGAGGTTATACTGAGGGTATAAGAGGGTTATTGTAAATGACTCTAGTTCTTTTTCTTCCTTCCCGGATGGCTGTGATCAAGGGAAAAAATTTGTGTGAGATAGACATTAGCAGAGCTGCATACGATTTTGAGGTTATACTGAGGGTATAAGAGGGTTATATTCACGGTATAACCTCTTGTAATCTCCATATAATGTTCTGTAACTTACATGTAACCTACTAATAAGTTCTTAATATATGATAACAGAAGTGCGAAACTTATTTGTAGGTTACAGGTAGGGTAGGTTACAGGTATACAGGTAGGTTACATGGAGATTACAAGGGATTATAACACGGGTATAACCCCCTTATACCTTCCTTATAACCTCAAAATCATACGCAGCGCTGCGTACGCCTATCGTTCGCAAATTTTTTCCGTGATCAAGAGCGATTTTTTATGACAATATAAAATTATAACCATGTGCTTTTAAATTATATAATTTCTTAATAGTTTTGTACAATGTATATTTTATTTTAACTCTTCAAATTTTTTAGAATCTTTAAAATTATTTTAACCATGTATAAATTTGTATGGTATTAAAAATCCCTCGGATAGCCTCTCTAGCATGCATTCAAAACCCCCCTCTAAAAGAGCGAAAATCTCCTCATTGCATGTTTAGTATGCAATAACGGTGGGAATGACAGAATATTAGTTGTAAACTGTAGTATAATATATATATTTAACATGTGTATAATATTGTTCTATACGGAGTTTGCATGCATACGAACTTCACACGTAATAATTTTTTAGGTATGGTGTGAGGCAGACTTTTCCATCTTCAATCAAACGAAATAGACCGACATCACCTGGCCAAAGGAGTCTAGCCTTTCTGTCGAGGGAAGTTCTTCTTGATCATGGTTGAGGAATGGATCTTTTCCTCCATTGCTGTGCATTACCATCTCGCCTCAAACTTGCAAGTTTGATCCCGAGCAGACCTCCTCCATAGAAACACAATCTAAAACATTGCTTTTGTTGCTACCATCAGTTGCTTCTTCCACCATTGATGAACAAACTTTACTAATTCCAGCCTACGTAAAATTGCCATCCTTATCTGAATACTTCATGTTCATGAAGCTATTTGTGTTTCTCAATGTTGAGACCAACTATCAACTGTCAGATAAACAAAATTTGTTTGCCACGAGTTCTTCATTTGTTCCTGACTCCATTTTACTAATATTTTAAATTTTTGGGAAAAGCATACATGGGAGAATTTCAGTCTGGAATAACCAATCCATTATATTTCTATTTCATAATAGAAATTATCCATATATGGATAGCAGTCAGAATGTTGTCAGAATTGTGGTAGCAGTTTGAAAAGCAAAGAAGCCAGAATGTTGTCTCAAACGATCCCTTGGCAAGAACATAGTCAAGCTTAACTCGGCTCGATTCAAACAACTGTTTGAGCTTGGTTTATTTTGTGACCATCAAACATTAAACTAGTGACTTGCTTGAAAATATAAACAAAAATTATCAAGACTTAAAAATTGGAGCTCATTTATCATACAACATAACCTTTTAAATTTATATATATATATCCCACCAATATGAGCTAGTTGAAACAAAAAAATTAGGTTGCCCACCGACCCAATGAGCTATGAATTTAACATGCGGAACACTTTTTTCATTTAAATTGCACATCTTCCATATGATGTAGGACTAAATGAGTCATGCAAATGCTAAGTTTTCAAGAATCAGGGTGTAGAAAGTGGGCTACAAAATCAGGCTATGAGAATTGGGCTGCAGGAATTAATAAATTTATTTATATTTATAAGTTTATATTATACTTTTAAAAATTAAAAGAAAAAAATTAATTGATATTAATGATTAATTGAGTTTCTTAGCAAGTTTTATGACAAGTCTTAATTAAGCTTCTTGATTATTTTATTCAAAATCTTTAAATGATATTGTTTATGATAAAAAATTATTCAAGCTAAGAGTTTTTTAAACTTCTCCGTTTAATAGTATTTATGAAAAATAATCAAACTTGTTTGATTAATTATTAAACGATAAAAAAAAGAGCTCTAATCAAGATAAACCACAATTAGCTCTTCAAGCGCTTAATTCTTTTGCAGCCCTAACTATTTTCACTTCATTATAGTATATTTTTGGTTATAAATTCAGCCGTTTTCTCTTATATAATAGATAACTAATAAGTATTTTTATCACTTATCATGATTTTCCTCCCAATGGCAGACAAGATTAGAGAGAGTCGTCTTAGATGGTTTAGTCACATTAAACGCCGGTCATCTGATGATCCTGTTAGGAGAGTAGATATTTTGGATTTGACTTATTTTAAGAAAGGTAGAGGTAGACTTCAAAAGACTTGGGCGTGTTGTATAAAAAATTATCTTAATTTATTAGAATTAAATGAAAATATGACACTAAATATGACATGATGGAGAAAAAGGAATCATGTAGCCGACCTCACTTAGTGGGATAGGCTTGTTGTTGTTGTTGTACCATGTCTTCCCACTCATAATGAGGACTCTATTCATCCATCTTCCTCCTTGACTTCCGATAATATTTTATATGTTCCCTAATTTCATGTAAGTCTTTTTGTGTACATATTATCTCGTCCAATCTAACAATTGTTTCATGACTTTTAGCAATCTTACTATATTTTTTTAGAGTTCCATTAAAAAAAATACGATTGGTGGAGGTATTGAAATTGGAAGTAGTTATTATATGACCAATGCTATTTTTAATAACTTGTCCTCCATTATTTGAACTTATATCATTTAGGCCATCTTCCATTGAGCAATAACTTCAATGTTTCGCTCAAGTTCCCTGCACTATTTTGAAAGTTGAATGTAAGGCTTATGAATATGATAAATACCACTTGGTCTCCTTTCTAGTATTTGCATCATCTTATTGCAGTGCACCTTCTTACCTGGTCGATTCAAATACCTCGAGACTTTACCTTTAAATACTTATTTGAATATTTGTTAGTTCCTTTCATTTATAGATGATCACACCAGTATCATTTGGTTCATTTGTTGATGTGTCTATCAATTATTTTGCCTATTCTCAAGCATCTCGATGAAAAATAAGTTCAATTTTTTACTCAAATTGATACATTTTATGTCAATAAAGCTTTTGAATGATGTAGTTTCCACTTTAGCTTTGTTTACACAACTAACGAAATTATCATCAATCGCCATGTCCTTATATCACAAAATAAAATAGTGCGGCATTATTAAAACTAGCATTTCCTAGAGGATACATGTATCTTGTTGTTTGACATGAAAGTTACACGCCAGTTTTTTGGAGGGTGACCTCTCACAACCTATTACTTAATCATGTCGTCCACTTTTATGGGTGCTTTGAAAACCTATGTTACATCTAACTCATGAAGTCTTAAGTTGTGCTTGTGTTGTTCACTCTCTCCATCCAAAACATGATGAGCTTTCTTCTCATGCTATTAAGAATATTTTTTAGAATATATGATCCACCTACAAGTCACTCCTATGTCATTAATGGTGTCACCTTTTAGAAGCTCCTGCCCGTTCCTCATCCCTAACAAGGTCTCTACTCATCAACCTCACACACTTTTCAAGTTCTCCCTTACAAAACATTTACTATCAACCTCGCACACTTTTCAAGTTCTCCCTTACAAAACATTTACTATAGTTGTGCATTCATCTATAACTAAAAAGTTAAATCTACATCTCTTGATTTCTTTACAAAAAAACTATGTGTAGTTACATCAAACAATCACAACACTCCATCAAATTCTTTTATCATTTATCATCTTCCATTCATTATTTTTGTTAATCTCTATCCAGTACCGCTGATTCCAAAGCTTATCAGAATGATCTGCTAGACCCTAACTAGAAGTAGGTAACCAATAGTGAAATAGGTATTTTTCTTGATTGTCATACCCAGATTCTTATTTGCAACACATTCTAGGGTAGATTTTTTATTAATCATTATAAAGTTAAACTAGTAATCAAAGGCTATACTCAAATCCAGGAAAATGACTACTTTAAAACTTCCTCCCCCACCACGCAACCATGTATACATCTTTTCTATTTGTTGCTATCATGACGAATGGGCCTTGCTCCAACTGGATACGAACAATACTTCTCTTTATTTTGAAACTTTATAAGAATCAAATTCCACGGCATGTTGTAAAAATCTAAGCTTTGGTAAAATATGCGGCCTAAAACAAAATCCTTATCCATGGGTTAGCAAACTCTAAAAGATTTTAGTGAAAATTGCCCCTCCAAAATAGCACAAGTGGTTATTCTCCCTTTATCCACTGCTTTTTCCTTTGACACGGTGATTCACATCATGTATGCGGATGATATTTTCTCATTAGAAACGAAGTGTTCAACTTTGAAAATAAGTAGTATCTTCAAGAGACATTCATGGGTTGTCCACATTACTTTCTTGGCATCGAGCTTCTGCATAAAACATGAAAGATATTTCACTCTCCCAAGGAAATATGCCATAGCACTTGTTGAAGAAATTGATATTCTTGGATGAAAGGTACTAACTCTCCCATAGATTCTCTAAAATCATTTAAAAACGATGAAAACATTAAAGATGCTACTCTATCAATGTATAACTAGCAAAGTCACCTAATTGACTATCACTCAAATTAATATATCATTTTTTTTTTGTGAAATTAATTAAAATTATTCAAAAAAAAAAAGAAATTATGATGTTACTTTAAAATTTTTAAGAGATAAAAAAAAAAACTTCATAAAAAAAAGTCTAATATAACAAAAACAAAACCATGTAAGGTTAAACTTATTTTCATCTGGCCAATGCTAGATCCATTGAGGATTGAAAACCTACTTCAAGGTGTTATCCTTGCGGATGAAAATCTAATATCCTAAAAAGGTAAAATGTAAACAGTTGTAACTAAATCTAAAATTGAAGCTGAATAATGTCCATGGGTCATTCTATTTGCATAATGATGTAAATGAAAACTCTAATAGAAATATTAAACTACCCTATAACCACTATGATCCCTTATTATGACAATCAGGCAGACAATAATAGAGCTGAAAATCCAATCTTTCAATTAATTGATATCTTATCAAAATTTTAGGATTTCTTTATTTTTTTCCAATATTGCAATAAGCTATAATGGGAGAGGGTAATTATGGGAGAGGGTAATTGAACATAGGTTAAGACGCATCACAAAAATTTCTCATAATCAATTTGGATTTATGCCGGGCAAGTCTACTATGGAAGCTATACATTTATTGAGAGGTTTGATGGAAAAGTTCAGAGATAATAAGGAGAATCTACATTTGATTTTTATTGATTTAGAAAAAGCTTACGATAAGGTTCCAAGAGATATCCTTTGGAGAGTTCTCGAGAAGAATTGTGTTGATATGACTTATATTCAAGTCATTAAAGATATGTATACTAGAGCTGTTACTTGTGTTCAAACTGAAGGAGGATTGACAAAATATTTTCCTATTTCTGTTGGTTTACATCAGGGATCGACTTTAAGCCCATATCTTTTTGCTTTAGTTATGGATGGTCTTACTGGACATCTACAAGAGGATGTACCTTGGTGTATGCTTTTTGCTGATGATATTCTTCTCGTGGATAAAACAAGAGAAAAAACCCAGGAAAAACTTGAATTATGGAGGTCTACATTGGAGTCTAAAGGCCTTCGTTTAAGTAGAACTAAAACTGAATACATGGAATGTAATTTTAGTAGTAATAGCTCTAGTGACAGAAGTGTGACTTTGGGTGATCAAATTATTAAAAGGTGTGAACAATTTAGATATCTTGGGTCCGTTGTCCAAAGCGATGGTGATATAGATGGGGATGTTAATAGTAGAATTCAAGTTGGTAGGTTGAAGTGGAGGAATGCTTCGGGCCTTTTGTGTGATAGAAAAGTACCGCTAAGACTGAAAGGAAAATTTTATAAGACGGTGGTGAAACCTGCA